TTATATTTCATATATTGATTCTATATTTTTCCACAATGTATCACATTGTAGCTGCTTTTACACGTTATTTAGCTGGATCCTGTATATCAACATGGCTTTAGAATAGGGGTTAGATGCAATTTTTGAATTTTTTGTTATTTAAATAGCTGTTACCATTACGACATTGATTTTCATTGCAATTATCATCGAGTTTACGATTAGTAATATTTATTTGAAATACTTATTTTAAACAATTCATCTTATTCATCGAATTCGGGTGGACGGATTATCTTCACTGAACAGTTAAATTTCTATCGCCTAAAATAACGCGTAACCGTATTGTTACGCGAAAGGGCGATACACCGGCGGAGCCGGAACACAGTGTTAAGTACATCCGCTTCTTGAATCGACGATTCTTCGAATTGACGGCTAGCACTGACAGATCGATAAGGGTTCGAGGAGCTGATTCAACCGGCTCCTTTTGCGATGTGATAAAAAATGCTATATCGCGGTGCCTCGGGGCTGTTATCCCCGTACTGCTGATCGGTAAACGCCTTTATGATCTTGTGAAAAATAACTCGGGCGCTTACTTTCCGCCGGAATCTTAGACCTTTCCTCTTGCCGCGGCATAACAATATGAAGTTGGAATATGTAGGAATGCAAGTCCTATGCTGTTTGAGCAAAAGGAAAGAAATGGAATGAAGAATGAAAGAATGGAATATCGAATGGCGTATCCGTGGTATCTACGGACGACAATCGATACTATTTATCCTGTATCTAACTGCGAGGTGTAAATGTATTATAAATAAAATCAGTTTCATATATATGTAGAAAATTTACATCGAGATTGGAGACTTTTGATCTTCGTGATGAGTAAAATATGCGATAAAAAATGTTTGACCCTGAATCTCGAAACTATTTAAATAACGATCACAAAATTGTGGTATTCGTACTACGTTTTAGTTTAAGTTATCCTTTATTTATTTAGCTATTATATATTTCTAATTTATACCTAAGTTGAACTAATTTTTTGTGATTTTAAAGATTGGTAGATTTTTGCATAACCCGACCCAATCGTAAATCGTTTATAACCGTTAATCATGAAAGTAATTAAGTTCTATTAGTCTCTGTTCTCTGTTAGAGTGAATCGATTCTGCCGCTTGTGTCAAAGTAAAATCGTATCGTTCCATTTCTACGACGTGAAAACAAAAATATTTTTCCGCCTTTCGCTCGTGTTCCCTATAGGCTACGCCAAGTCGATACCGAAGGAAAACAATTTGTCAATGAGACGTTTCCGTCGTGATATCGAGCTTTCCATCCAATTTATCCGACTTTTCACCGTTGCTCAGCTGCGTGATAACTTAATATTATAAGCGCCGCAGTTTTGTATTTTACTCTTAGCTAAATAACATTCGCTGCAATAGCGTGTGCTGCATATATACTTACGACATTATGAAGAAATCGACATTTCCAGCGTTTTGTAAAATACGTAGTAATTCACCTTGCAACGCTTGATAGTTTCAGTATTTCTTTAAATAATTTTTATTTATGTAGTAACTAATGGATTCTTAGAGTAAGGACAAGCGATGATGGTAGAGTTTAAAGTTTAATGTATTTTAATAAGTGATATTCAAATACAAGAGGAATATAAATAGAGCTTAGTATAGTTTAAATCAGCGATATTTAAGAACAAAAAGACCGATTATAATATCGTCGCACGTCTGTACACTCTGTATCCGCTCAACTTGCACTCTGCTTCTCGACTGACTCTCTGGCCGTTGTAGCATTCTTTTGTCTTTGCTAGGCGCACCGCACACGTGTTCCGCGGACGCTCGTAGCCAGGGTCACGTAGGTCTTTTCGGCGAAGCTATTTATTTGAAGGACCCGATAACGCATTGATGGAGCCGACAGCGCCTCGGCTCTCGCGGCATTGTCTATAGTTGGCTCGACGTTTCTTAGGCCCTTCTCCCCGATACTACATTTATATAATGGACAATTGATTTATCTTATTTACTTAACGGATATAATCCCTTCGATACATAATTTGAAATCTGTTCGCTATTATATATTGCGAAAAGTTCAATAAGTATTAAATTTGTTGTTAATTTGCTGTTATAAATAACACATATAAATTTAGGATCTAATCATATGGAATGATAATAGTTGTCATGAATAAACAAAGTAGAAATAATTTCGTCACAGGGATAAATAAAATATGCTGTAATTCGTTGAAAATAAGAATCAAAACATAACTATTATTTAGTGATGTCGATACAAAACTAGACAGGATCCCTTTTGTGAATGTGTTTGAGTGAACGATGAATTATATTTAACCGACCAACCTGTCAACTATCTTCTGGAATAATCGATTTCAGGAAATGCGATCATTACTATCCAAAATTCACAAATCCTCCCGTAGTTCCAATATACGTTGGGTTCTATCGTACTATCGTGCAATCAGTTGTAGAAGTTCAAGTTAATACCGTCGCCGAACCAATCAGCCGTCTTGGTGAAGTTCTCTGTCTTCGATGATGGAAACGATTACTGTAATTTAGCAGATCGATTATTACGGCGGGCAACGGCGACATACACGAGATTATTATTATTTAATATTATTATATTATTTGATATCTTATCTTCAATATCTTTCGGATAATTAGTACGACTTGAATTTAATACTCTGAATTTGGAACAATTATACATTATATTTTTCGTAACAAGCTTAACTTTAATTAAAGAAACTGTTGTATTTCAATGAATCATTCCCGTTGAAATGTCGTAACGTACTTATTTCGTGACGTTGTTACGTCTGTTGGTCTGCGTAACTGCTGAAAATTTGCACGTAAATCTATTTTTTCATTAGTTAAGTAGAAAAAACTACGTAGATAATTTTACAGAAATTAATAAATTCCAATTTCAGAAGGAAAAATAAAACTACATCCTTCTTTTTTCGGATCCGCCATACTTCACAGTGTTAAAGTGCATCTTTTATCAACAATTTCTTTACAACTATGTCTTACACGATAGATTTTTTCTACTTCAAATTAATTTTCTTCGTCATTTGAGAGTAATCTTGAATTTTCAAGTTCATCTAAGAACTATCTTCTAAGACTGATGCGAAACGAAAAAAAAAAAAGAAAAGAAATGATTCGATGCACAACCAATTCCAAGCTACGTAAAATAGTAGTTAATCTCAACGATTATACTCTTTCTAGGAACTGCTATCTGTTTAAGATATAAATCAATTTAAAGAACTAACTTATTTAATAAGTAATTAGAATGCATATAATATGCAACGTTCAGTTACTACTTTATCAGGGTTAATTTATTGAAATACTTGCTTCCATGTTGTTAATAAGTCTTTAGCAATCAAATTTTAATAAATTCTCTCCTAACGCAATTCAAACTTCTCCAATCTTCGATAAAGTTATTTGAGATTTAAATCGCTTATTTTCTATTTGAAATAGGAGAGACTAAACTTAGTTGGTTTTAGGTTGATGCCAAAAGCATGAATGTTAATAAAAAAAATGGAAAATGGTAAACGGTATTGTAGTCCGCTATTTATGTAATGTAAAATTTCATTTCGTCACTTGGTATTGACTCAATAATCAATTATATTTGCAAATTCAAATGTCTCGTGAATAAGTAGTCTCAAACCTATATGAAATAATTTCAAACTATGTTCATATACATGCTCCTTACATTTCCGAACATCCTAGTCAAAGACATATCAACACGACCGTCATAAATCGTTTTCTCTATTCAGACGCAAAAAGATGATAGTAACGATAATTACAGTAAGAAATATATAGAATGGTTCACATAATTGTTCCATAAATCGGTTACCTGTACAGTTACAGAAAAAATGTCAAAGAAGAAAGGTGAATGATTTGAAAAGTACTACATTTGTAAAATTAAGGTACTTTTTTAGAAGTGTAATGATGCATGCGCAATCAACAACTATATTATTTTCTGAAATAGTAATACATGCTTTTCTTGCGAAAAGTATCGAGGGTATAATGATGAAAAGGTTATTAGTTTTCGAGATATTAAAGAAAAAATATTTTTATCGAAGAAGATGCTTAAACGCTTCTCTATTACAATGTATAAACATTTCGAAAAATTATGTCCGTTCTTGTCAAAATGAACAATGAGTCAAGACGATCTCCGACCTGTTGCACCTAATGGCTTGCAGTATTATCCGTTCTTTCAGATTCTCTCCAGAATTTAGAGGATTTATCGAAATCCTATCTTTTGAATAAAGAAATACGTATTTGCTTTTTGGTAGGAGTACACGCATCAATATCGACAATTACGAAATTTTTGAGCATCGTCTTCGATAAAGATATTTGTTTCAAATGTCCCGATAACTAATCACTTTTTTACGTTTGCTTCTACGATTATTTTAAATACTTTTTACTTACGATACTTTTTACCATTATACCAATACTCTTTTACGTAGAATGGCGAGAAGAATCTATCGATGTGAAAAGGTATGCACTTACATTTCAAAAAATAATGCAGTTGTTGATAGCACATACGTCATTACACTTGTGAGGAAACATGGCTTTACGGACGTAGTACGCTTTGAACCATTCATCTTTCTCCTTTGATATTTTTCTCTAACCGCACCGGTAATGGAGTTATAATCTGAAACAATTGTGTCAACCATTCTCTATACACATGTATGTGTACGTATATACGTGCCTTAGTCAAATCTATAACAAGATATGCATTTAAAACTGCTGTGGAAAATTTTAAAGAAAAATCTCATCTATCGTTTGAGGCGATGTATAAACATTATATATCGTGCAATAAATAATATGTCTTAATAATACACTTTACGTTTTTCTTGCTAAACTAACTAAAATATTGTAGGCTTTTTCTTCTTAGTGAAAGTAAAAATACGCAATTAAAATGAAATCACTTCATAATGAAATAAGCAATATCTGCGCCATTCCATTTAGCAGGAACTGGAATTTAGTAATTGCCGTTATTCATTTGCATTTTTATCGTTACAGGTAGCTTCATCTGAAACAAAATGGAGATACAAAATAATATACTTCATGGTCCACCAATAACAGAAGTACCAAACATATCTCTGGGACAACATTTGTTCAATTGTCTACATTCTAATGCTGATCAGATTATGCAAGTAAGATAAAAATTGTTTCTACAGAACACCGTTTAATTTTACGAGTGTTTCCGTCCATGCGTGCTTTTGCAAACCCTTCAAGCGCAAATAAGCATAAGCCATTGCCGCCGTTTGTAGGAGCTTAGCTCAAGCGGCATTACGCCTTAAAAGTGCGTTCTTTAATTTTTTCATCCAACTTTGACAAAATTACAATTATAACGAATGCTATATAGTACATATTATGTCGAAGGAAAATGCAAAACGTCACACGCGTTTTTCACGAAACGCGTGTTTAGCAAATTAGTTATCATTATTTATTAACAATCGATAAACGGATAACATCCGTTTATCTTATGTTATAGATAAATCTCAATATCTATAATAGCTTCTTTGATAACCATTTAGAATAGGGGACATTCGACCGATTTTAACGAGCTTGAAAGATGTTGTCAGGGTCAGTGAATAATTTTTCTCTATACGCATAATAATACACAGATTTGCAGTTAAATCAAATTCCAGAAAGCGCCATGAATTTTCAGAATTTGCGATTTCTTCATTCGGAGGAAATGTAACAAGTTGCGTAAACATACAGTGGCTCGCATTAATATTCGGATACTCTTTACAGCGGAATAACTTTTTGAGAATGAAACTAAGCTACTTGAGTTTCTTTGAGAAGTAAGACAAATTAATTTACTCGATGACGCGTAAAAACACGTGTGAACAAATTGCAATTGGTTGGAATCGCAAAAAGTATAACGAAGGTCGCACTTTATAATTTTTTATCTGACTCTGTAATGAAAGTTTGAACAATGCGCTCTGTAGGTTTATGTCAATTACATGTATGCGTGCTAAAAATTTAATCGAGATTGGTTCGATGCGGAAGGAAAAGACAGGCATCGAAAGATGCAACAATCTTTTAGATTCATTACAGTTTTAGAAAAGTTGTGAAAAACTACAATTTTTACCGTTTTCAATAATTTGTAGCTCTGTTAGCGCTGTTAACCGTTGATGAAAAGTTGTTCCGTTTTAAAGGAAGTGCGAATATTAACGTGCGAGCAGCTGCTTATTGCAAGGAAACGATTAAGGTCATCGCGAATTCATAACTCTCGTTCGTAATTGAAAAATTGTTTATCGGCTATTGTATCGCGTAGTTTGGACTTTACGTGTTCGAAAGCCGCCTATATATAGAGATTCGTGTACAGTCGCGCAGTTACTCCAAATTACAAGTTTCAGTTGATACGAATATGAGTATACGCGAAATATCCGCTTCTCTCAGCAATCGGTAGGTATAAATTTGGTCATTAATATCATTGGTTTTAATTCTGTCATTATTCAAATGAATTCGAACAGATGCACAGAATTTATTCTTGCTCAATAGTCGAGTCATTGTGAAATCTCTACTTTCTTTATTTATAGAACTCCTATTTTTGAAAATATCGTTTTGTTTTTTTTGATAATAGCAAATAGTATTACACTTAGATTTCTAAGGAACTAAATCTAATTGACTAAAAGGACTAAAATCTAATTGAAATTAACTTGCTTATATTACTTCCTAATTTTATAGATACATTCTAGTAGGATAAAAACTGTTGTAATTATCGATTCGAATATAGTTAATGCTAAAGAAAACAAAGAATTACTTTCAACAGATAAATCAACTTTTAAAAAGCACCATGAAGAACCGGTTGATAAGTGCAACATTTGTCAGCAGTGTTCTCTTTGCGATCCTTCTCGCCCACCTGCCGGTTACTTTATCGAGTTCCGAATCGATCGAGGATCATCTGCCGATAATAGGCGCAGGGATCAAAATATTGCTAGAAAACGTTGATCGCCAGTTGAAATGTCCCGCGTTTCACATTGCTGTAGACAATAAATGCGTTCTGATGGGTTAACGTTCAGAGCATCCAAATTTATATCATGAACACGTACATTTACGTTTCTGTTTCTTCCGTTTTCGCTCTTCGACATTCGCTTTGAATCTTGATCGACATCGTTGCCGAAAGATTCAGTGACCGTCGATTACTAGCTCACTGAATCTGTGTATTCAGGATTTTGTTTACTGTCAACTTGGATTGTAAAGAATGTATTGTAATAAATAAGGCAATGAAAACGTTGAATTGATTATAATTTTGCTGCAAAATTCACTTAAATTTAGATGCTAGTGTTTAGAAGAAAAGAAATGTTTACAACTACGCACTTACCTACTAAAATTCAGTCTCCTTGTTGATTTAGAGATGATTTGACTTCAAAACGAAAGAAAGACACGTGTCTCGTTACTAGCGAAGAGTCGTAGAACATAGAATATATTAAAGGGAACAAATACTTTATAATACTAATTATGCTATTAATACCAATAACTAGAGCTCATCCATAATTCTAACGAATTATTGTTGAAAATTCTCGAGGTACATTATGTTAGGGAATATGTACGAGACACATACACGATACATCAAAAACGATTGTAATACTTGAAAATGAGAATTTAGTTCTTTTTACTATTCGGGCACCAACAAGCTTGGTTAAGGTCGTCTTGTCCATTCCGACGACCAACCGATACCTGTGAAACTTTTTCTAATTATTTTTTTGGGGTTAACCAAACTATCGTGCATGCTCACAGTTGAATGAAGAAAAATCAGAATGCGAAGCAGTCTTGGCAGTTGAAGGACCAAAGGTCGGTTTTCCAGCGCCTGCATATCAGAAGCGCGTTGATGATTTTAGTCGTGGATCGTGCTGATCTTTCTAGCGTTGGTCACGTTTTCGTGCGTATTTTCCGTTTCTCCTAGAGTTTAGTTGGAATCCGTAGATTAAATCCAGTTAACGTCAGTTGTTGAGTGCGAATGGGAGACGGAAATGATGCGAGAAATGACATGCACGATCCTTGTACGATAACGATGTATGTTTATTATTACAAGCTTATCTCTAAAGCCTGGGAGAACTATCCTCCACTCAGCAAAGTTATTACTAATATCAACAAAGATTATTTATGTGGTTAACAATGTCCCTTTACTATTCTAAAGTGGAAATAACAAATACACAGCACCTTTCGAATTTGACCTACGAAACGCATTTTTTTCATCCTTGACTAAATTCGCGATTATGTTATTTCGATCCTACCGACGATATTCGATATATTGCGAGGAGGCTCACTCAAGATATCGAACGCTAAAAAATAAAAATTGACTTTACATCGAAAGGGCTACTTTTAGAACTATGTCGATATTTATTTCTCCCGGTTGGCACTATAAGCCCTTTGAGTATCGGACAGCTTTTTACACAACCTGTATACGTCAGTTAGCTATCACACTTGAAACGATTACGGAGAAAACATAATGTTCGGAATCGCAAGCTTTGAAATAAAAAAATAAAATATGATCGCGGCAATAATACGCTAAATTGTACGTATACAGTAGAACCTCGATTAGGAGAGAAAGAGGGAATTTTTATAAAGACTAAACTGCATCCGTTTATTCGCATCTTGTCCGCGTTTGCCCAGCCACAATTTTCATTTGTCTACCCTTCAACAAATATTATCGCCAAATGTTCAATAATGTGATAATTTCGGTATAGCGTATCACATTACATATTTAGTTACAAGAAGGCCGAACAACGTCACGTTGATCAAACTAAAGGAATATAAACGGAATAATACAGAAAAACTTGGAAATTTTTGCGAACAATCGTTGCAGCATTTGATTCAGTGAACACATGATAAAAAATAATAATATTCGTTCCTTTACAACAAATGTAAAAACAGGGGCATGTAACATAAAATGCATAACACATACTGCTCGATATATGTGCTACCTTATTACTATTATCTCATAAATACGCCATCTAATTGTATTTTCAATACAATTTTTATATTTCTATAAATGTTATTGTGGTTGAATGTACTTTAACCGCCTAGGGATTTTTAATTACACATAATTTTCGGCTAACATCGTCGTGTATCGTCCACATTCCTGCTGTATTACGACAATAAACTATAAACCGTCCAAGCGTATAACCTGTAGTGCCGCTTAAAAGGTATATTTCATTTTGACTCTGAAATTTATCGGGTATATCGTTTAATTATATTCCATTCGGGTATTCGACACAACACCCTCAGCATGAGCTTCAATAAACCGTTTAGTTTTTACTGCCACCTCCTTCGAAATTAAAACTAAAGAGGAAGCAATGCCGGATATGCTCCTTTACAGCTCCATCATTTTAAATCGGAACAATCAAACAGTTTACACTGAAACAATGCGAATATTAGAACGGTTCATCGTTACAGAATGGCTGAGCTGTGAGAAACAAGAACGATTGCCGCAGAATATAAACGAGACAAAATATAAATTGATATAAGATGCAGTGAAGCAAATCAGTCGCAGGTCATTCGTTTTATCATTTCCTGACGTCCATATTAGAGATTTTATTGAAAATTAAAAAGCTGAGGTAGACTCGTGATTGTACTGATTTTGAATTAGACATTACAGTCCTTGTAATTTTCGTCAGAAAATAAGCTTTTCTTACGGATGGAATACTTGACACTACCGTTGCAACGAACAATTAACGACCTGGTACGTTCCGTTCTAGATAAGCGACCCGCATATTGCGATTACAGATGGCTGTATTAGCATGTACATTGTCAGAGTAATCAACAGTCTCAATTTAAACAAGATAGATTTTTTTATATAAACAGAGCAAGAAACGACAATACAAATGATTCATTTTGATTACTATGTTTTATATTGTAATACTTGCATGTTACTTTATCAGGTAGATATTCAAACTGGTAAACACTACACATGCAAGGATATTCTCGAAAAAAGCACAATATTATCTGTTGCTTTGAGAAATTATGGAATCAAGGTGGAAGACAGAATTTCCGTTGCAGCTGAAAACCATCCACATTACGTGGTATCGATATGTAGCACGTTATTTATCGGAGCTACATTTGCACCGTTGAATCCAGCATATACAGAAAGTAAGATATTCTCCAAGCAGCTTTTACGAATTATTTTATAATAATAAAGAAATTAATTTAATTAAAAGTACGTGCGTGTTTAATATTATAGAAGTTTAGCGAAGGCAGAACGTAAAAAATAGAAAGAAAAATTTGCTCTTCTTTTTTGGAAACTTGCATGTTTCCGATAACTCCACTGATTATGCCATATATAAGTTAATGAAATCGAGCCTTGACTTTATTATTTGCCTCGAGTTTATTATAGAATTTTACAACTACTAGAAACAGAGATCTTAAATTAGATACTTTAATTAAAGACTAAATTTATTTACATTACATTTGCAGAATTAACAATAAAAGTCTAGAAACAGTACTTACTCTAACACAAACTTTTATAATGTAGTGTAAACAATAATTGTTAATATTAAATTGTTAAATATTGTGTATATAGGTGCGGAAATTAATAATCACTTATATTCTCAATATTCGTTACTCCGCCACCTTTTAGAGATACAAACAATACTAATTTTTAATCGTATACGATTAAATTGTATTTAACTACTCCGAATATCTTCTGAGAGTAAACATTCTACGAAAAATATGTTATTTCAAAGAAAGTTGTTTCAGTCTCTCCTTGCGGAGACGGATATCGGAAAAAGCTTTTGTAAGGCTTTTCGAATATTTCTAGATCTTTTGTAAAACTGTCACCTTGTTACTCGGAGTGGTTAAGTTACGCGATGCAGCATATGCGTTATTTAATCATATCTAATGCAATTTTTTACGTAGGAGAATTTACGCACATGCTGGAAATTTATCAGCCACGGGTGTTGTTTGTATCGCGACGCACTGAAAACATTTTGGCGAAAATTGCATCTACTGTAAGCTGGAATATGAAATTAATCGAATTGGATGATGAGCCTCTTGATGGAAATATAATAACCTTAGACAAGGTTTTGGAAAAATATCAAAGTGTCACGGATCCCTATGCGTCTTCAACGGTGCAGATAGATAATAACAGGAAAAGAATGGCAGCTATTTTATGTTCTAGCGGTACAACAGGCCTTCCAAAAGGAGTAATGTTGTCTCATCGAAATTTGTTACTTTTCATCCAAAATCTAAGGTAAAGATATTAAATTAATATACACAATGTATCCGGTTGATTTCGGACCACACATATATTTCGTGATTTACTTTTTATTTATGCTAAATTTAAATATATATTATTCGTTTTATATGATTAACAAACCATTCTTTATTCAAATCAACTATATAATATTTTCTCTATTGTTGTGCTTCTTAACTCTTATCATTCTAGTTGAAATTATAAATATTCGATTCAATTGCATTTTGTTCTTAATCGAAGTGCCCCAGGAACAATGGATATTCGACGTGGAGACCGAATACTAGTTTTCTTGCCATTATTTCACGGTTATGCGTTCGGAATGATGAATACGGCAATAAGTTGCGGTGCAGTTATATACATAATGCGAAACTTCGAGTTAGAAACGTTACTCAGTTCCGTAGAAAAATACAGAATTACGCATATACCATTGGTCCCTCCAGTTTTAGTTGGTCTTGCGAAACATCCAATGGTGCCAAATTGTGATTTCAGCAGCGTGAGAGAGATCGTTTCCGGTGCGGCACCGCTTTCGCCGGATGTAAGTTTTTCGTCCAAACTTATTAAAATTGAGAAGATTATTCGCAACATGCAGAAGCCTGTGCGCCCGATATTAAAGTACAAAAGTAAATTCCTCTTTATACATCTTCCTTCTCTCGATGTGCAGAATTAACCAAAAACATTAACGATACAGATCGACATTCCTATTTATAATTGGCGAAACAATCGATGTGTTACCCCATCGCCGATTTCAATGATTTTTACATACTTTGTAGAAATTAAACATTTTTCCTCTATTCCCATTGAATTCCGTCTATGTCAGTTGTGCGTCCGTGGCAAAATATTCGTCAGTTTTGGTTACCGGTCGATCTACAGCGCGGCGATCGGGTTCAAACGACGATAAACCCAGATCAAATTCTTATCTGCATATAAATTATATATTAAAAAAATCTAAGAATTAGGGTTGCTTTCAGCAATCAACCTTGACACATACGTCGTTACGGACGCACAATTATAGGCAGAATTCGCAATATATATGTACGTTTTGTCGACAGCTTTTTGCTAACATCTCGAAAACTAAGAACGAGCGGCGGTTACACGCGTAGGAAAAAGGGGCTTGAAACGTTAATTTCCACAGCTTATTCAAAAATCGTGAGAGTCGGTCGTGAGGTGGATGAGATATCGGTTACTAATAAAATTTGAAAGGATATTGGATTCCTCACGACAATATATTAATTTAATCTAACGTGATAGTTAACGACAAATGTGTCAACAAGTTTCAATAAAAGCACCCTTCATAGAGGAAAATATATTCGATACGTATCTCTTTCAGGTAGCAAACGAAGTGAAGCAACGTACAAAGCTGAGAGCTATTCGAAATGGTTACGGTATGACGGAATTATCAATACTATCAAACATGAGTGATAGGACGAGCAATGATAACTCCATAGGTCCAATACTGCCTGGCTTTAAGTGCAAAGTGGTAAATGTAGAAACAGGCGAGACCCTGGTCGCAAGAAAAATTGGGGAAGTTTGTTTCACAGGTGATCAAGTAATGTTGGGATATTTTAAAAACCCTAGAACCACTGCAGAAACAATCGATAAGGAGAATTGGTTACACACTGGCGATCTAGGATATTTTGACGAAGAAGGATCGCTATACATTACAGGACGTATAAAAGAAGTTATTAAATATAAAGGTTTTCAAGTTTCACCATCTGAGATCGAAGCAGTAATATTGTCGCATCCAAGCGTTAAGGATGTAGCAGTCGTGGGTAAACCGGACAAACTCAGCGGAGAGATACCAATGGCTCTGGTAGTCAGACAACCTGAGAAAACTATATCGGCGAAAGAAATCGCGGATTTCGCTAATGGTAAGATTGTTTCTCTTCTTATTGTTTATGTACAGATTCGTCGTTATCATTAAGCGCACAAAGGACATCTCGTAAACAACAACCGTCAATTTTACCGGTTTTACGGTTCTACATGCAACATGCAAGAGAACCGCTTCTCGTTAAAAGAAATTTTAACGAGATAAATAGTTTTGTTAGTAGAATCTCGATAGCATTTTCAAAACGTTGTATTACGCTCCATACGTAATGATATTACTTAAAAAATATAACGATCAAAGGTCGGTCAACTAATTAACCGAAAACAATTATTCTGGACGTAATAATTTTTGTATAATGAAATTTTCAAGTTTCATAAGATATTCTCATATTTACATTAAAATTTTATCGCCATGCTTATACATGTAACAATTAAATGAATTAACTAATAAATAATACAATAAAATAAGTTAATAGATAACAATTTGCTTAAGCTAATTCTATGCGAAAAAGTAAGATAAATTTTGCAATACAATTTTTTCGTCCGAAACTGCCGTTTCGAGGGAATCAATTTTGAAATTAGTCACATACGTAAAAGACACTAAGCTTCGAATACGATTTGATAGTATTAACGTTATGTTTGCTGACGATAATTGCTAAGGGTGGTTTCTATCTAACTTGCTATTTGTAAACAGTGACAGTGACATCACCCAAATAATAGAACGCACCTTTGCAGATTGTTCTTTTCTTTTTTGTGAAACTACTACTATGAGCTTTGAATAGAATAATGTAAAACAGATAAAATACAAAGGAGAAAAATTCAGTGTACATATGTTTTATAAATATCTGACAAACTGCTGAAACTGTCAAATTAATTATGTATATATTAGTTGTAGTTTCTTTCATTTATCGATTAATTATGTATTTAAATTAATTTTTTTTTTTTGTTATGAACCTTGCAGAAAATCTGTCACCACAAAAATGGCTGAGAGGCGGTGTAAAATTTGTCGAGCATATACCCAAAACAACAACGGGAAAAATTATACGAAGAGAATTGATTAATATCACAACTAAATTGTGAATCAATTTTTCTAATTACTCGAAATATATGTACTAAATACACAACTTCTGTATGCACACACACATTCAACTAAGTGTTTTATTTAATCGCCTATTTGAATATATAAAATGTACCTGTCCAACATAATCCGTGAATAAATTGTAGACCATATATTGCTTACCAATCCGGATACATCAGACATACGTGTGCACTTTAGTAGTGTCGTTACAAGCATACGTTTGTGACGGGAGCAGCGTCCGAGCAGCGTGAGAGAAGGGTGGGGATTATTGTTTACGAGAACGAACCTGATACGAAGTCAGATAACCTCTAGGATAGATACTCATGCGGGTGAACCTGGCATTAGGTCAGGAAGCCGCAGGAGGTTAAAACTTCATGAACGGACCCGAAGCGAAGTCGGCAAACCGTCAGGAGTTTAAAGCAGAAAGAAACGAAGCTGACGCGAAATCAGAGAGCCGCAGGAGGGGTTTGGTTTCCATGGATGAACCCGATACAAAATCGGGCAGCCACTTGGTTGCAAAAATTTCTTTTGGATGCTGAGACGCGGAACGAGCATAATAGGCTTGAATGTTAGCGTTTAAATAATTCAACTCAAATTTATATAAAGCAATATATTGTAATGAAAAGGTTGTTACAGGTGTATTTGTCGCGAATAAATGAGTGTATCAATGTGTTGGCTTATAGTTTGGTTGCTCGATTTTGACGCTCTGTCAATGGGCCGGGGCTAAGACCAGTGTGGAAGCAATGCCGAACAGAATTGAAGCCGATCGCGGATTATCCCGTAAAGTTAATTATTGACTAGGAGGGAAACTTCAACCCGATCTCACTATACCGTTTCTTAACAAACGCGACCAAGTTACATAGTCACTTCTCGTGACGTTGTGTCCGAGGGTCGCGATTCCTCGGTTGCCTATACACCATGAAGGTCCGAAAATATTATGACGGCCTAGATCAGGAGTTTATTTTTTACCACATGCGTTTACATATAGAAGAAAGTGAATTCCTTGAAAATTTCTGGCGAACGGCGCTCTCCGGTCCTCATGATGGTCGACTCAATCGCAGCTGCGTCTCCTACATCGCTTTTGGTAAGGGGTATTTAAACTAAGAGACTCTTCTGTTTCCTCAGTGTTTTCCGGAGAAGTTTCAAGAACGGAGGTGGAGAAAGATATTTCTTATCTGTAACGCGCTATTCGCCACTCTTATCCTAATTTAGATATTAAAGTGTCGCTTCCAAATTACAGAAATACAAACCGAAATAAAGTGAAACATTAATATTATTGTACAGAAAAGGATAGAACATGACATGCTTTTTCATTTTGTCACTAAGCAACGAATGAAATTACTTTACTAATTCCTACTGCTAAATCAGAGACTGTTTAACCGATGAAATTGTTCTAATAGCATGTATATAGATGATATTTTGTAACGTAACTCTTGATTATTCAGACTCCTGTAGCTCATTCATGTATCATTTAACGAATCTTTGCGCTTTAAAGTGAAGTAAAAAAATAACCTGCTTCAATGATATTTCACGCGAGTTCAACTTCGCAAGAGTACTTTTGGTTTCTTTGCACTATACTTTCAACGAACAGTAACAGAACAAAGTCTTTCGATTCTTTGATGAATGAAAGGGATTGAGAACTAAAAAGAAGAAGAGGATTAACGCGATGTGAAGGCTATCATCGATAAGTAGACCGATAATTGGCCGTTCTCTTAGCAGAGCAGTCAGAACGATCGCGTTATCTTCGTTAACGAGAAAGTGCGATAGGAATTTCTAGCAGTTTTACCGGATCAACGGAATTAGTGGTATCCGGTATTGGAAAAATTTAAATTTCACGCCACCGACTCTACGGCGAGACCACCTATCTACATGGCTATGTGTGTACGTCTACACAGGGTGTTCCATAAATTTTCGTTGACCTATTTAAATAACTCAACAATTTTTACGAGTTCTCTCGCTAAACGTATGAATTTCAATGTCTTCGTTCCATTTTATCATCAACCCTATATAGCTTTGTAATGGATGCATATTTATTTTTGTATTATCACGTATTCGATTTTATAATACTACTATCCTGATTTATTTATTTGTAATTGAGATGGATACTATGTCGTGTCAAGAAATTTCGAAACTCTATTATTAATAGGAAAACAAACATATATCTAGCCGTTTCAATTTCCAATGTTAAATATATACATAGTACGAAACACGGTGCATTACTTTTGTATGCACTTTAATTACTAATTGTATGTAAGAGTATGGAAGCACGAATGAATACGAAACATTCCCGAAACAGAAAAATATGTAAAATTTCTGCACTGAATACGAACTCGTAAAATAAAGATCGCTATTACTTGTTGGTTTATAAAGCGAAAAAGTGAAATTGTTTTTTAAGAAATAAAAACGTATAATCTATATTTCTATTTTATTCATTATATTATTATATATATTTTACATTTACTGTTATCGTATAATATTTACAATTTTTTCCCATAAGTATCAAGACAACCCCGACTCGTTCTTTTCTTTTAACTCCACAATCGAAACATATGACTCGTTTGATGAAATTTTATACTTACCTCTAATACTTAACCGCGCCAAAACTTCAAATTTAGTGTAAGATTTACAAGTTGGTATAGAAGTATAGATAAGGACTATTTAATTCAATTTCCATATTATTAATGCTAAACCTAAACCAAGCCTAAAAATAACTATATAGACGTAAATTAAGTAGAAGGTACGTAGTAACAAGTAAATAGAGAAATTTCATTTAAGGTTTATTAATAAAATAATCAAATAACAAAGAAAAAAGAATTCATCATGATGTTTGGTTCAGGGTTAGATTTATTTCTAGTTTAATTTCTATTACTCGCTAATAATTTCATGCAGTTTATGCTAGATTAACGTTAGGTTTTGGTGGTTTTAAGGTAGAGTTAAAAGTACTTGGAATTATTTGCGACACTTTTTTTGCGATAGTTTACTTATTATGTGGCCCTTTTCAATATATTGAAAATATATGGGAGAAATGGGTGGGGTATTACTCCACATTGAAATAAGAATATTGTATATCCTAAAAGCTTATTAGAAGCTTGTCTAACAAACATATCGAATTCAGTATCAACTGATTCGAAATACACCTTGTACGTAAAACAGTCTGCATGTATATATCTATCACCAGTATGTACATTGTACATGTACGTGTCTATGGCTGGTGTTCCTGTTAATTTCATTGCAACGATCACCCTGACAAATCTAATTGACGTGCATCAATTATTTGCTGGACGAAGGCCGCTTAACTCCCTTTCCATTTGCCAGCTAGCATGGTTTCCGGATAATTCCATTTTTCACGATACCTTCTACCGATAGAATTTCACTATCATGGAGTTATGTCGGTCATGCTTTCTAATTCCCAAGTGGACTGATAGTTCGCACGAGGCCATCAGTAAAAACTACACTTATCGATATTAATATCTACAAATACAAATTTCTACAATGAACATATCCAATAATTACACATTTTGTAGTTTTTATTATTTTCTAGTATAATAACTCTCTTTAAAATTCAAATTTTATCTTGTATTTTATTCTTAATTTCGAATTTATCGTGGACGTAAAAATACGTAAGTTCAAAAACAGATATTGTAATAAAACCTGCAACGTTTGTCAGAAAGTATATTTAGAAGAGTAGAAAATTTGTAAAATGTATACTATTCATGATCATTGTCGATGAAAATCTTTATTTTTATATAAAAGTATCTAGAAATATAATAGTTTCTTCGATTACTTCATAAAAAATATCATGCAAAGGAAGTTATTACGATAAAGTAAGGACAATTTTCTGTCATTAATTTTTATAAATTCTTACTGTTTTAATAATTTTAATTAAGCTGTTTTAATATATTCAAAGCATGTACTAGCTTTACGAGAACAAAAATCAGTTAAGTTATCATACTTTAAAAGTCATGAAAGAGATATAGAGCAAGAATTAATTGATCCTCCTGTTCCAATTACATTTATGGTATCATATAAAAAATGTTTTGAAAAAATATGTCCTTTTTAATTATACTGACACGATGTACGTGTTTTTTAACAAAAATTTTACGTCAATTTATTGTCGAATTACGTATTCAAATTAATAACGCTACATCTAATTTGAAGCCAAATTTTATACTCTAAACACAAAAAAACTGCCTATAAAGCAATATAGCGCTACACATTTTCGAATTCTCTGGCAGCTAGAATCTATTTATATTAAAGTTTCATTAGTTTCATTTATTTAACTGACAACATTTGTCTGACATTTTTTCTTTTTTTCAATATTAGATATCGTATTACCTAAGAACATCTTTTCGAATAATAGAGCCATGAATTTACAGTAAATTGTAAACATCTTTAGTAAAGCTTCGGGAGAGAATTAAGAAAGTATTGACAAACTTTTCTCCATCTTTTCTCTGTACTAACTCCCCCTAGATTAAAAAAGTAATTAATGAGAAAATTACATTTAATGTGCAACCAATGAACTATGATAAAAGTTCTCATATCTCGGAAGATTTTTCTTTCTACAAAGGGACCATATATTTTTCATCGTTACTAATTAACTTTCTTTTACAACTAATAGGTAGGCGGAAGAATCCATCTAAAGCCGCCGTATAAATCGTACGAGTCACTTAAATTGTTGTCGAACTCTCACCATGGTACAAGTCAAATAAAAGATTCGGTATTTCTGTTGACATGATTTCACATAGAAGGACTAGAAGCCAAGCCAGTATCGGCCATGCAACGTTAATTTAACGCGTGCTATCGTAGTTTGTATAAAATACGTAATAGTAAACGCTTTAATAGAAAATGAAATTTATGTTTAAATCAGAAAGTTAGTACGGTGAAGTCCCGTTAATATCGAACCTTTCAAGTCCGTGAAATCGATATTAACGAATTCGTGACAAGTTCTAATTGAATTTTCCCGAATTCAACTCGAATTGGTAAAATAAGTAACGAGTACGAATGAGCACGAAACTAAAGCCATTGCTGGAAGCCGATGAATGATTGGTTGACAAGAAATTAAATTACACCCCGTTTATCTTTTTCTAATAAGGAGAAATGCGACATCTTTTTGAAGCGCTAAAATCTTTTTGATTAATGGATGGATTCAACCGCAGACTCCATCGGTCTACTTTATGTTAAATAATAACGGTCACAGCAGATCAGCCGAGGAATTTCATCTCGTTATTCCTAAGACTGATGAAGAGTATTTAAGTTGAAATTTATTCAACATAATCGCTAATTTTTCCATCGGTAAATGAGCTCTTCCATTTGTCATAATAACAGTATCGTGTTGTAACAAAATTCATCCTTTTTTAAAATATAAAGATTCCAATTTCCGCTAGTTGCACGACTCATCGTTTTCGAATGTTTAGATGACTCAGCTTCGAGTGACGGTGGTGATAGCTTTGTTCTCTTGCTCTTTGTCATTCGTTCTGTCTATTTTATTGGTCTCGACTGACTTGGAAAACGGCTGCTCTTCATTTGCGCGTATATGCATGAGCTATTTCGATATATTTTAAATAAGATTGTTACACGTTTCAATTTTCCCACAGTCCACCAAGTAATCGAACTCTTCTCGGGACGAGCTACCACACTATAAAATCAAAAATATGTAATGCTACTGAAAGAAA